GAGTGTAACTTATTTTTGTAATAAAGTTTTTGATTTCTATCAGTGTCTTACTCTTTGGGTACAATCTTCATTGTTCTAATAATTGTCTAGTGTTTGAAACAGTTGTCTGAGAGTGCACAGTGATAATTCTGTTCAGTGACAGTTCTGTTTGTATCAGTAAAAAGCTAATGTGGGTGCTAAAAATGACAAATCCTCACCCCCCAGACTTTGTGCTGGAAATGTAAGCATCCCAGGAAGTACTAGCGTTTAAGTCTTTGTAACGGAAGATCAAGATTTCACGCTAGCTAGTCGAAAACGTACATTTAATAGATTAAGTTTCCCTGTGTAATTTTTGTGTGTGTTAAGCTAAGTTTTTAGGTAATTAGTTTACAAAGCAATTGCATTTATCGCAAAAAGACCCAGTGTGTGTTATATACGCAAATAAGTCGACGTGGCGGGAGGAAGGCCACGCCCACTGATGAGTCACCATAAATTTGAGACCCCTCGTCGTCGTGTGTTGCGGTTATGTTACGCTTATTTGAGTAGCCGAAGGTAACACCTGGTTGCCTACAAACTACAGGAGTCAGTATTTTCCAAGCTGCAGCGGAGGTGACATCATCTCCGGCGTCGGCAACCAGGCAGCAGTCGTTGCCCCCCATCTGACAGAAATGACAGCTAATGTTAGAGCGCAGTAGCCGTTAGCCAAACACGGGCTAACCGCTGTGTAAATATATACATGCAATCCTGCTGCGGTTACAGCGGTGTGCTGCACCTCGTCTGTCCTTTACACAGGTAATCTGCGTGTTTATTCTGTTAATTCACGATGTCGCTGCTGGACTAAAGTGAAAAACGGCCCATAACGTCCACCGTACCCTTACAGTAAGTTTTGGAATGGATAGCCTAAGTAAAATCACTGCAACTTGCTTGCTGTGTAAGACGTACAAGCTATGCATATTTTTTAAAATTGGTTCTGTTATATGCTGTAGCTGCACGCCGTTATTTTCGACAGTCGCACTATAATGCCATTTTTATTTTACAGTAAAATGCAGTAGGTTGCATATGCACAGGCGACGATGGGATGCATCAGGGCTTTTCTCCAGACAATAAAACGCAGAATGAGACTGGACCGGCTCAGAGAGTTGGGTCGACAGTATCCAGTCTTCTGCTTTTTGCTGCTGGTTTTGCTTCTGTCCACTGTGCTTTTAAACAGGTAGGTTGGCTACTGAGTATCGTAACGTTACTCTATCGATTCATCTTCATAATGATGTTCCTAACTCCCTCACCTATTCGCCCAGAGTGCTGACATGTTTTACTCTGTTAATGCCTGTTTTTATGTTTTGACAGATATATTCACATTATAATGGTGTTTTGGTCCTTCCTGGCTGGAGTCGTCACTTTCTACTGCTCTCTGGGGCCCAAGTCCTTACTGCCCAACATCTTGGTCTCCATCAAACCAAAGACCAAGGTAGGTCAGAAATTACTGAATGGCAGTATCTGATTAAAGCACTTTTTGTGCTGGAGTGGATGATGGGTAGGATCCCTGTATTAGCTGTTAATATCTTTCTCTTGTAGTTATACCAGCAGGAGCTGTTTCCACTGGGCCACAGCTGTGCTGTTTGTGGAAAAATCAAATGCAAAAGGCACAAGTGAGTTACCTAGTTATGGCGTGGTGCAGGAGTAGTTGAGAATTATCCCATTTTGTTTTCCATTACTATTTGCATATGTAGTTACGTTGAAGGAATTGTTGATTGTTATTTTCCGCTGACATAACTCTTTATGTGTGAATATGGAGTTTATTATCTTACTTCTGTACATCCTGGCTTTACTTGTGCCACTATAGACAGGGTAAAAATAAAACTGATTATTTATGAAGAACAGTAAACTGGCAAAATTGAAGAGAAGCATTTCTTGTCATATTGCTTAATTTTTTTTTTTTTTTACATTTGATTTGTCAACATGCATTCAATGAGCTCAGTATGGCGCTGTTGTTTATCAAGTTATGGAAGCGTTTACACTGCCCTCTACTGGTCAGAGAGGATTCCTGCGCTTTTCTCTTTGTATGATGGTGTGACGTTTTTGTGTTGTTAATTCATTGATAGACCAACTCTTTTACTGGAAAACTATCAGCCATGGTTAGACCTGAAAGTTCCTTCTAAGGTGGATGCTTCTCTTTCGGAGGTAATACATTCATGGTCTAAACAGGTATTGTTTTAATTAAACCAAATGATCACATAATCAAGTTCTGATTCATTTTTCAAGATTCTCGAGCTGGTTCTGGAAAATTTTGTGTATCCTTGGTACAGGTAAGCTGTTTTTTTCATATCCTTCTGACAGAAACTGTGGCAGAATAGTGTGTTACATAGAGTGACAGATGTGACTGTACAGCATTTCTTTTCAGAGACATCACAGATGATGAGGCGTTTGTTGACGAGCTCAGAGTGACTTTGCGGTTCTTTGCAGCTGTATTGGTCCGCCGAACCCAGAAGGTGACACACACACTCCTGCTGCTGTTTGACTCAACATACGTTATTTTAAATTCATTTTGTCTCTCTCTCAGGTGGATGTGGCATCCCTTATCACACAAAAGCTTCTTAAGGTTTCCATGAAGCACATTGAAATAATAACCAAAGCAAGGCAGAAAGGTATAATTGATATAGGTATGACTCTTTTTTTTCTTGTTTACTGTATAAAATAAACAACGAACTCTTTCTGCGCCCCTGTGTAGTAAAGAACGCAGAGTATCTTCAACAAGCTGCCCTGGAGGAATATGGCCCGGACCTCCATGTGGCTCTTCGCAGTCGCAGAGATGAGCTTCTCTACCTCAGGAAGCTGACTGAAATGCTCTTCCCCTACATTCTGCCACCCAAGGCTACAGACTGCAGGTATCTCTGTGATATTAAAGACACTGCAGTGCCTCTATATAGTTGTAAATGTGAGTCACAAAACATCACAGCATCAGTGTACAGGACAGGACAAATCTCACATTACCTACACCGTCCAAAAGCAGATGAGGTTCATTCTCTTCTCGCTCACTTTCTTATTTCTGGCTGCCCTATTTCCTCACTCTCTCTCAGATCTCTTACTCTCCTGATAAGAGAAGTTTTGGCTGGTTCTGTCTTCCTTCCTTCATTGGACTACTTGGCTGATCCTGTGAGTGTAGACACATTTAAGGGCTGACATTTAAGAGTATAAAATGTATATTTAATAAGCATCTCACTTACTGTTACTTACTACAAGCATGTAAATGGAAGACAAAGATTCAGAAGATCGGAAGTACCTACAGTGTTCTGCATGATTGTTGTCAACTTACTGGCTTCTGTTTTTCTGTTTTTTTTGTATTTCAGGACACAGTGAATCATTTAATTTTGATATTGATCGACAACTCCCCTGTAAGTATATGTTGAACAGTGTACTGATGTGCACAGCCCAGAGCATATGAGCGAAGTGAGATCTTCTGCTCCTCCCTCACGGAGTTGTGCGCCTGCTCCTCTCCCCGGCTCAAAGCCGCAACAGGCGTCTCCGCTCATTATCGCTCAGCGGTCAACTCAGATTGCACCAACTCACTCTGAAAAAGGGGAGCATGTATTTCACTTTTAGCTTAAAC